ACAAACGGATTATGGGCTCAAGGTTTAGCCGAACCTTCTTTGATGTCAGTCTTCCACCCGCACGCAAAAACTTCACGAAGACTACTGAAAGACGCTTATAATTACCACGAATCACCAAAAAACTCAAATTACCAACAGAGAGTTCTACAAGCCGATCAGAGCAGCTTTTGCCCGCTAATTTTTGGCTGCACTGGTGGTGACGCAGCAGCAGCTACACGGACAATGCAGCGCATAGCTGAAAAACTTAATGAAAAAAGGCATCAAAGCTACTCAGAAACAATAAACTATGTTAGAACTAAGATAAGCTTCGCGCTGCTCAGGAGCGCTATCCTTCGTATACGGGGGTGCAGATTTCTGTGTAAGACTCAATTCATAAACAATTCAATTAATGCTATTACAGAGGAAGGACGGTTGAAGTAAATACCTTTAATACTGGACTATGTTCTGATTTTGTTTATAATAGTTTCCTATTTCAGATAACATTGTTTTAATCGATTGTTTTAATTGAATATTGGAACAAAGACTGTTGTCATTTATGTTATCTACCTAATTGGAGTATCCAACAATGAACGTGATTGAATGCCCAGCACCCGAGTGCCCAACCACATGGGACACCACACTCGCTTCAGATGTACTCTCCAACCTCATCCAATTGCACGCACGAACTGCCCACCCAGCTGATGCAGGCACAACATCCACATCGAAGCTAGAGAAGGTGAAGCGGCCCACTATCGACTCCGGGGGAACCAATGAGGACTGGCAGTATTTCAATCAGCGGTGGTCGGAGTACAAATCCGCAACGCGATTATCCGGCCCTGACGTCATCTATCAACTACTCGAGTGCTGCGAAGAGTCTCAGGAAGGACCTCACACGCACGTATGGTACGCTCAATAGCAGCACCGAACAGGTAGTTTTGAACTCTATCAAGTCACTTGCCGTTCGCGCAGAGAACATACTTGTGGCAAGAGTTCAACTCGGTCAGATCAGACAAGACAGAGATGAACCAGTGCGTGCCTTCGCTGCCCGTCTACGAGGTCAAGCAAGCGTGTGTGCTTTCACGGTTGAGTGTGGTTGCAACCCGCCCGCAGTGGTAAGTTACTCTGGCTACATGGTTCGAGATGCGCTCATCAGAGGCATAGAAGACGAAGAAATACGGCTAGACATTCTCGGTCAAGCAAAGCAAGACCTTACTCTTGACGAGGCCCTGCAATTTATTGAGGCCAGGGAGAGTGGTAAGAGATCAGCCCTTCAGCTGAACGGATCGTCTGTGCAGGCCGCGTTATCAACTTACAAACGAAAAGACAAGCTTCGAGTTACCACTCCACGGAGTGGTGCCACATGCGGTTATTGCGGGCAACCTGGTCACAGTCAGAACAGACAGGACCGAATCAACAAATGTCCGGCATATGGTAAGCAGTGCGGCAACTGCGGAAAATATCATCACCTCATGGAAGTCTCTCGACAAACAACTCAACGCTCAACCGCAGCACCCGTCGATAATTCTGGAATGCTGGGAGTTCTCGACGCCGTCCACAGTATCAGCACATCAGGTAAAATCAGTCACCTTGTTCTGGATCATCATATCTACGACGAGTTGTGCGATTCTTGGAAACGTAAGTCATCACACCCTCAACCGGTAATCGACGTCAGAGTAGTGGTGCATCCCGACGATTCTGCAGCACTCGGTTTCTCGGACGGGAATCACAAAGTCAAGCATTGTGAGATGCAAGCTCTTGCAGACACTGGTTGTCAATCTTGTCTTGCCGGTACGAACATCCTCCGCCTCCTAGGCTTGCAGCAATCTGATATCATTCCTGTGACAATGCAGATGTCGGCCGCCACAAACCAAGGTATCAAGATCTCCGGTGCAATTGTCGCGCGAGTTGGTGGAAAATCAGCAGCCGGCAGTGCCGAAACTCGTCAGATCATATACCTGACCGATGACACTAAAAGACTGTTCTTGTCTAAACAGGCATGCATTGCCCTTGGGTTTATATCTAAGAACTTTCCTACAGTAGGTGAAACCCACTCCTCGGTATGTCAAGTGACCAGTGACAGTGCATGCCAATGCCCAACGCGCAAACCACCGCCACCGGTCCCTTCTGAGATCCCATTTGCGCCAGTTACAGCGAACCGGCAAAAACTAGAAACCTGGCTGAAAGACAGGTATAGTAGTAGTACATTTAACGTGTGCACCCATCAACTTCTTCCAACCATGTCTGGTCCACCCCTACGCCTTCACGTCAACCCGGAAGCGACTCCATCGTGCGTCCACACACCAATACCAGTTCCACTACACTGGCAGGATCAAGTGAAAGCAGCGCTCGACGAAGATGTCCGTCTGGGGGTAATTGAATCAGTTGCCGTTGGTGAACCAACAAGGTGGTGTCACAGGATGGTGATATGTGCCAAAAAATCTGGAAAGCACAGACGAACCGTTGACTTGCAACCACTGAATCAGCACGCCTCTCGCGAAACGCATCATACGCAGTCGCCTTTCCATCAGGCGCGATCGGTTCCACGCAACACTTTTAAAACGGTTTTCGATGCCTGGAATGGATATCACAGCATCTCCCTTCACGAAGGTGATCGTCACTACACCACTTTCATCACACCGTGGGGAAGGTATCGGTACTGTGTTGCACCTCAGGGGTACATCGCATCAGGAGACGGCTATACACGCAGGTTTGATGAAATTGTTTCACAGGTACCTAACAAGACAAAATGCATTGATGATACTTTATTGTGGTCGAGTGACATCGCAGAGGCATTTTCACAAGCCGCAGAATGGCTTCACCTATGTGGCAGAAATGGCATTGTTCTAAACCCTTCAAAGTTTGTTTTTGCGAAAGAAACTGTCGATTTTGCAGGATTTGAGATCAGCAATAGCACCGTTGGTCCATGTGCCCAATACTTAGAAGCCATTGAAAGTTTTCCATCGCCCAAGAACATCACGGACATCCGAAGCTGGTTCGGTCTTGTTAATCAAATCTCGTTTTCCTTCGCTGCAGCACCTCAAATGAGTCCGTTTCGGAACCTTTTAAAACCTGGTACACCGTTCCAATGGACAGATCATCTTGAGCAAGTGTTCCAAGCGTCTAAGAATGTCATTATCAACGAGATTCGCTCAGGTGTGGAAATTTTCGATAAGGGGAGACCTACTTGTCTTGCGACTGACTGGAGCAAGTCTGGAATTGGTTTTTGGCTAACGCAAAAACATTGTGACTGCCAGCCCATCAAACCCTTATGTTGCGCAAGCGGATGACGTGTGACCCTCGTTGGCAGCCGGTTCACGAGCAGTGCAGAGTCAAGATATGCTCCAATCGAAGGTGAAGCGCTAGCCGTGGTCGACGCACTCGAAAAATCGCGTCACTTCGTCCTTGGTTGCGATAACTTAATTATCGCTGTGGATCATAAACCTCTCGTCAAGGTGTTCGGGGACAGATCGCTACATGATATAGAGAACCCACGCCTTCGAAACCTCAAAGAGAAGACACTGCGGTTCCGATTTCGTATAGTCCACGTTCCTGGAGCTAGAAACGCAGCTGCTGACAGTGTTTCACGTAATCCTGTGGGGGTTTCCGAAGAAATGCAATTGCCTGACGACCAACCCACTGAGTCAATCGGCGCACCAGAAACTATGTGCCTGGCTTCTATTCGTGTACACGACAATAGAGAAACTGAGATTTGCTCTTCCTTTGATAACAAAAGCAGAGATGTCCTTAGTAAGATTACCTGGGAATCTGTGCGTCTTAGCACAGCTAGCGACTCATCGTGTCAACCACGCCAGATCGAACCACGCAGTTATCTCCCTCGATGTGCGTTTTTGGCAGGCCAATTCGGGATTTCCTTCCCATTCACCCTGGTAAGTACCAACCACACAAAATTTGGCAAGACACCTTGGCTGCCCGTGAAGATGCCCTTCGTATCCGCCATGCACGGATTTCAGAACGACTTGTAGAACACACCCGTCATCTGCCACCGCTACGGGTAGGCGATAATGTCCGGATACAAAACCAAAGCGGTCCAAATCCGACCAAATGGGATAAGACAGGTATTGTTATTGAGGTACGTCAGTTCGACCAGTACATAGTTAAAGTGGATGGTTCAGGTCGTGTAACTCTGCGAAATAGGAAATTTCTGCGTAAGTTCCTCCCAGTTGTTCACAGAGACCACAGAGGCCTAAGTGAGCACCCTCGACCAACCGATGTCAGTTTGGCACAGGTGCCGCAGGTAAAGCCTTTGACAACTTTGGTCAAACCATCATCAGTGGTTCACCCGAGTATACAGAAGAATCCGTTGGACATCTGCGAGCCGTCACTGCAACCTGATCAGCCAGATCTCTTCGAACAACAAAACCCAACGGCAGGTGTTTTGCCTTTGGAGCATGTGAGTCAGACAGAGTCGTCGGACGCAACCACTACGCTGTTGTCCACACAAGGTAAGGTTCCCCGTGCTCTCATGTGCCTGGAGCCTCACAATAAATCGGGACTGGTTGAGGAAGTGATTGAAAACAGCACAGGTAATCGGACAACTCGTCGTCAGTTGAGGACGTCGGGGCGTTGTTAGACGACATGCTTATCCACGAGTGCTTTTGAGTATCTGCAATGAAGTAAGAACAGGAGAACTATTCGAAACATTGCAGATGAACTATTCAGCCCTTTACGAAAGGACTTGAGGGGGCATACTGGACTATGTTCTGATTATGTTTATAATAGTTTCCTATTTCAGATAACATTGTTTTAATCGATTGTTTTAATTGAATATGGGAACAAAGACTGTCCCTAAACGGAAGGGCCCCTTTTATAAATTACCCTTTTTTCTTGAAATTAAATTATACTTGAATTTTAACATTCCAAGTAATTGTGATTTAATTTTCAGCTGTCCAATTAATTTTTGACTTGCCCTGACCGCTCTAGATCACAGATTAAAGCATATATTGTCTAAAAAATTCAAACACAATGATTAGTTTTAGCCTCGGAATTTAAAATGAACAAACATGTTGAGGTCGAATGAGAACTCTCTGAAGACCTCCTGTTCCTCTTGGTCCAGGAATTAAAGTCATTGGTTGTCCCTGGGAACTGATACGAGGAGAAGCACCAATGGCTCCCCCAACAATTGGACTGCTGACCATTTGAACAGTTTGAGGAGCGTTCTAAATTTTGTTGGGTTGTTCTTTAATACATTTACATTTGGAATAGATAATGTATAACGTTCAAATCAATTTTCTTTACCATCCGTATATTTTGTGCTGCTTGCGGCTGAATCTGGATCCGAATGTTGTTGGAATTGATTGTATTTTGTGCAGCATCATTGTTCTGCATCATCAAATCTAACACAAAACAAGGACAGCCCGGTTGCTATGCAAGTATCGCAGAATATTCTCAACGAACTTATTTGACACATGTTCTAAACACACTATAAATTCAAATGAGCCAATTGCAAATTTCTTTGCATGAGCTGACCTCTTTTTTATGCTGAAACCAGCCGAACTTATTTACATCGAAATCGGAACTTATACCTTTTCGTCACAAAAACGATAAACAGTGCGGAAACAAACCATATTGGCACACAGAGCCAAAGCAGAGCTTCGCACCAACGCGAAGCAAAAATTGTAAACCAAGAAAAATGTTATCAAAAAATCAGAGTACCAAATAGTTGCAAAAACATTCTTAAAAATAATATAAGCAACAAAATCAGCCAAACTCGAATTACTTTTCAAACCTGCCTCCTATGCATGGAAGTCTTCAGAAGACACGCGATCGAAACATTAGTGAACTGCCTTGATGAAAAAACCAAAAACCACTCCAAAGGATTTAGGAAAATAATCCAAGGGTTCGCATGAAACCCAGTCATTGCATTGTTCAAAGTTTAGTTTTCAGTTATAAGTGTAAGTTTCTTCAGGTCTCTACAGTTGTTGCATTCGCATAAAATGCGCCATGTGCATGTATCTGATTCGTTTTAGCGAGTTTTGAAAAACTTTTTATAAAATGGAATTATTAAGGCCCATAACTTCATGCAACTCTAGAGAATTGAACAAGAAATAAAAAGAGCGTATATACCGCACAGTTTACAGTTGAAGCAGTAAAGCGAAGGGTGTGTGTCAACTAGTTGCCTCAAGGATGCATCCAGCGTTCCCGCGCTGAATCGCTAAGTCTAGCTTTTGTTTGAGAAATTTAAAAGCTAGTTTCTAACCCGTTAAGACTGTTATTCGCCTTGCAAGTTCTTTCAAGAAAACTGCAGTAGACCTACCAGCGCCACCCAGTGTTTCCATGGCAACGGGTTCGAAAATTACAGCGGAAGGGAGGTCTGAATAGTGGTTTCTTTTGCGGACTTCGGCCTCGGAAGCTGCATTGGCACCCGGAAGAGCTCCCATTCGCAGATTAGAGTTTGCCAAACGACTTATACATGTGGAATCCCATGCCAAGGTTCGTCCTCGCTGCCATGGCATTAGTGTGTGTCCATCTGGTCTGCGTCCATCTTTATGTAGCAGCCCGATAGGTTTTAGTGTGGAGCTATGTATAATTCGCCCAAATACTACACAGCGACGGAGCGTAGAAAAAGTACCTATTAACGACTGACAGGCGTCAGTTACCTTAATCCTACTCGTTTTTCACCGTTTCGACCTTGCCAGTTGATTTTCTGGTCTGTTTAGGGCTAAGTAAAAAGTTACTATTTTTAGGCTATCAGTCAAACGACTTTTGATCAGCTTTCGTTTACATGCGAACACAACCACATAGCTGAGTCTCGGATCCTCAGACTACATGATTGCTATTAAAAACACGGCTCGAGTACCCTACTTTAATATGTTTTTGTATGACAGTTCTATTATAAATCCATTGGAGATGGATTGACCCTTTCCTCTTTCTAGCTACTCATATTCTAAAATATCAAATAAAACCGGTGTTAATTCAAAGTTTCACGACATCCAAGTAGCTACAAAGTCAGTTCTTTATAGTCCCTTCACATACAACAGTCTCTGGGGAACCAAGCCTCCGCTCCCGTAATCTTCCCGAGATAACGCTGTTATCTCTCCCAATTTGTGGCACGGGAGGGTTCCGTGGAATATTCCTTCCCCACTGAAGCTTCCTTTTCCACCAATTTCCGCTGCTAAGGTTCTTATCGTGTGTTATTGCCACGATAAGAGGCTTCGTTTCTCTCGTTCTTTCGTGCGACTGTTTTCTGCTATCTCCGTCGTTGTTGTGGATTTTCGTCCTCTCCAGTCAAAATGGCCGTCTTTTTGTATTTCTCAGAAATATTGGCCCGTCATTCGAAATTTTAAAAATTCAAGTTTTCGGAATATCTAAACACTCCTTAGCAGTAATTTTTCTTTACTAAGGCCTTTATTCGTTTTCTTTCGTGTCGCCGGAAGGTTGCACTGTGCCAATCCGGCAGAATGGCACATACTCCCCGGACAAGTCCCCATCAATGTCCCTATTGATCGCATAACACCGGGTTATCGTCAACTGGTACTCCAGTTTTCTATAATTGATCTTACAAATCGCATAAGAAAAGGAAATTTATCTACTCCACCTCAACTCACTACGTGTCACAAATGGCATCGTACTACATCTCACTGCCTTTCAACATTTTCACAAAATCTGCACCATGAAGAGTGTCCTAGATAAAATTTCTTTTCTGACTACTATACGTCATCTTGCCATAAAACTTCTTCTCGCTCTTTGTGATTAAAAAGTTGGGACGTGGCACGGCCACGCACCCGTTAAAATTAACTTAACGTCACTCATCAAGTATAATCAGTCATTTATGCGGTCCTATTCGATATTAAAACTAAGAAACTCCTAGGCTAGGAAAGTTATTGAGTTACTCACCCTTTCCGAGCGATTTTACCCAAACTTACCATGCCGCCACACAGTGAAATTGTGTCTTACACAGGTTAAAAACTTCAGTCGTGTTTAAATAGGTAAATATACTCACCTATGTTCTATATATATATACATAAGTAGCATAACTAAAATTTTCTTTCAACAATTTTAACAATTGCAGCAATTTTCAAAGTCAGGTTTGACCAAACTAAATCAAAACAAAAAGTTTAACAAGTTCAATAATCAAACTTGGTTGATTGGTTCCAGTTTTAACACACAAAGACAATCAAGTTTTTTTCTCCTCCTCTTCCTTTCTTGTTCACATTTTCACTTGTCCTCTTCGTTCCCTCATCTTCATTCCATTGCTTCTCCATCCTGATCTTCAGCTTTGCTGTCTTCTAGGATTTTCTCCAGCATGTCCATGGAGTTACGGGCCGTGCCCCAACTCTCCTGTTCCAACAGCCTGGGTTTGCAACAAGGTAGCAGGTCCACATTCACCTTTTGCTCCCGGTTCCTGCAAAAGCTGTTGTGAAGACACAGGCTCACATTTCGTTCTAGGTCAGCTCTTAAGACCTCTTTCTTCTCATCTTCAGTTACATAAGGCGCTCCAGCTACTCGCTTCACCGCCGTGGTGACTGCGTTTCTGTGCGTCAGGAATGCTCTCTTATAGGCTCCCGGTCCTATATCTAGCTGGAAAGATTGATAGGCTTCCGTTCATCTTTGTTCCTCGACATGTGACGCTTCGCGCGTTCATACATCCATGACGTCATCACTGGACGGAACCAAGGCATCAACCTTTGCCTTGACCATATTCTTTCAATGGCTTTGGGTATTCTCAGAACTTTGCAGGTGGTTCTGAAAAGGTCCAATTCACGGCTCATCTTCACGTTGCTCAGTTGCTCAGGAGTCGGCACGGCCGTCTCCTGTTCACTTGTGTCCGCGTTAGCCTCCAACCATATCACTGCCAGCATGGCACTAACCACCACGATTGACAACTGTTGATTCTGATCCGGCAACCCCGTAGAGTACAACTCCTCCACGTCCCATACTAGCATCAGATTTCCGCGTTTGGGGTACCATAACGTCTTCGCCAAGCAGTGGCAAGGATACTCCCCATGGGTTCTCACTATGTTCCTTCGGGTCCGATACCCTGAGGCTCCCAGCAACGGTTCCACCTCCATCATAATTCTGTGTAAATCGTCTTTCTCTTCTATGGTGGGGAATTCAGTGGGTAACGCTCCCCTCGCTTTCTGCTTTTGGAACTCGCTCACATTACCTTCGTTCAATCTTAGGAACTCTTCACCCACTACGTCTTGCAACTCGCCTTCAGGTCTCTTCGTGACTGCCCGAAAGATCTTTGCCAACAAATCATATGACCTCTCCGACATTCTGGCCAACCTCACGCACTTTGGCACAGAGAAAAGTTGGTCAATCAAAACCTGCTGCGTCCTCGCATCCATCATCACCATGTGTGTAGGATACCTATTATTGCAATATGGCGCGGAGCTTGAACCCACCAGATATTTTGAACCAGTAGGTTTATGATAGGCTTCACTATCCTTCAGATTCATTTCATTTTCCAGAGCTTCTCGCCAGCCTCCGATCTTCTGCTCTGTCTGCAATGCTCCAGGGAATACTTCCACGCTGAGGGACGTCACTAGCTCATGGGCACGCTCCAGGCGCTCAAGCGATTCTATCGAACTCGTCATGCTACAAAATCCCAAGGCTGTGGTCAAGTTTACATCCGTCACCCCACGACAGTCCGCGACCAACTCCATGCCACTCTTATCCGACATGCTCAATCTTCCGTATAATCGTGCCAGTTGTCGATGCTGCTCGCTCAGCGTAATCAGGCAGTGTCCCAAGTTGCAAACATGTCCTTCCATCCCACTATGTTGAGCTTAACAGGTGCCTTGCTTCAACCAATTGCTCGATGGACTTTCCTCTGATAGTTCCGTGGATCGGTTGCTCTTCCGCTTCGTCAGCCTCATGGCCAGCAGATGGTGTATCATGGCCAGATCATGTAGACTCGCATCATCATCCAGGTCTAACGCGATATCCGCCGTCATGTCCCAGATTGAACCGGCGTTAGGATGGGGACACCAAGAAGGCTTCATGAGTTCCCACATGGTTACTAGGCTGGTTTTCAAGGGACCGTCCCAAGAACCACAATCAAAACTCACTTGCCCCTTCAGCTCGGGAACCGAGGGTTCGACCACTCGTTCTTCTAAGATAATTCCCAGCCTGGGTTGTTCCACCATCAGCATTCCAGTTTCTTTAATCCGTTCGACCCAGAAATTGAGCACTATGACTTGCTCATAGTTGAAGTACGCTTCCCTGGCTTCTTCATTCACGAAGGGATTATACCCCATCCCCGGTATGCCAGACACATATTGGAACGAGTTCAGTTTCCCTAGTGTTGCAAAGTCTTTTTGGCCCCTCACTGCTTCAATCAACTCCCGGCTCACTTTCAATTCTTTGTTGGAATATCTTCTCACTTCTTCCAAC